TACACATATTGGTAATAATTACATCTTTATTATATTAAATATATATCACATATACTTATACTTACTTTATTATAGAGGAAGTATGTAGTCTCAATGCACTTCTGTGTGTAGATTCCTTATTTATTGGTATTTGTCAGGAAACTAAGCTCACGTTATTATGATCAGCCTATTGTATTCAGAACCATTGTTGCCAGTGCAAGGAGGTTTAGACCAGTTTTTTTATATGTAGTAAACCTCGGAATACTGTCCCCCTAGTCGTGGAACTAAAGATCAAGAGGGAGCGATAGTGGTTTCTGCCTATTTTTTTATGTATGATAATGGAATGATGCACCCGCCTGCGCTAACGGTTTACGCTGGCGGGACACCAGTGGAGGATGATAAGACGAGCATGAGGTCAGATCAGATAGCCCATCGTGACAAATCTCTTTGCCTATTGTTAACGTCACTTTGACCTCCACGCAACAAATTGATCTATATATGGGCTAGCTGACCGGAGAGGGAGGGGAAAGGATTGTTAGTAATTACACTGGAAAGCCGCTAAACGTGTTCTTAGATATCTCAAAGGCACGAAAGACTTACAACTTCGATATAAACGTAACGGCCAAACATTCCCTACAGGTTACGTTACGGCCACAATCATGTAGACAAATCCTGTAAAAGAGCGTCTGTCTAAAAATGAAAATAGGTAGATGTTTGCACAGACGTCTTTTATTGCAGAGCGCAGTGACAAAGTAATATAAAGTAAAAATTATATAAAGAACATCATAATTTGAATATGGATAAAAAGAATATAAAAACTGCCAGTGACTCTCATTATAGGTCTAACAGTAATGTTGATGAATAATCCCATTACTAGCAATGTACCATATCAGGTTGACCTCCACTCGGTTTCTCCAGGTAACCATACTGTTAAATTCCGGGTGAATTTGCCACAATGGGCTAACTGACCTGATCTCATGCTCATTCTATCATCCTCCACTGGTGCCCTGTCAGCGTAAATCGTTATATGTTATATGTTGGATTGTACCATAAATTATCATACATTAAAAAAATATTGAAGATCGCATGGTATATCACTATCCCCTCCAGGATAACCCTCCCCTCCTCGGCTCCCTGAAATTTATTTTCCATGTATACTCAGTACTCACCTACTTCCTATATTCCAGTTGTTATCAACCTTTTTGATTAGGTTAATTTATATGAGGAAGTAAAACTAATTATATAAGGAACTTATGTAATTTATCATTGCATGTCCGAGTGATATGACAATCAAAACATATTATGGAAATTATATTTCAATCATATCTCGGTCTGCCCCGTAATTTAAATAGTATTGAGATACATTTATAAACAATATTATGAAAGAAAATCGATATTAGGTATGCATTTTTTTAAACAAAATTAATACATATTATTTATTATAAAAATAATATTATATTGTAAATAATAAAAGTTATCCTATTTAATACAACGTGGCAGATGGCCTACTGCTGTCTCTCAGATGTTTGTTAACGATGTTACCATCACAGGAAAATCGGTCCAAAATATAAATTGACACATCAAATATTTTGTTGTTAGCCGGATCTGAACTTACGACCTATCCCGTCGCCTGGCGAGACACGTATCGCGCAGAAGTAGTGACCGCTCCACTCGCCACGTGTCAGTAGCTAAGGTGTGAACCTGTCGCATAGGAGGGAAGGGTATTGTTAGGAATGTGGACTAATAATCCCATTGCTAGCAATGTACCATGTTAAGTCGACCTCCATGCGGTTCCCCCTGGAAACCACCTTAGTAAATTGCCATTTGCCAAGATTGGCTAACTAACCTGACATGCATCATTTTATCATCCTCCACTGGTGCCCCGCCGGCGTAAACCGTCAGTACGGTAGTGCAATACAGTACGCCAGTGTCAGTACGGCCGACGATAAGCCATAAACATTTGGGACAAATTTTGCTCCTGAACTGTACTCTAACAGTTCAGGGACACCGGGACTCGTAATTATAGTATACAAAAGAGACAGTCCTGTTCAAAACGGGACATCTGGTAAAATTAGTTAAGTATACGTATATTTTAATTTAATTCTTCCAAAACAAAAAACAAAATCTATCCTCTAAATATCAGCTTAGAATTAAAGAATATAAATATATATATATAGAAAGGTATATTACAAAAATCGTGATTTAATATAAGTTGTTTTAAAAAAAATCGGATAGATGTGAAAGCGTAACGGACTTGCTTTCACATGTATAATATGTATAAAAAATATTATAATGGAAGAATACCTATCTTCTCTATTCACGCTAGACACCTTTCGGGGTGGACCAGTCACGTGAGGCCCACGTACCCACAGGGGGACAATTCGAAAATGGACTCGACAAGAGTTAAAAGTTAACGCTTTCGTTCGGGACCATTTAAACGCAATACTTGAATATTTTAAGGAAGAACTTACATATGTATGTGGTTTAACCATAAGGGCATAGAAAGGCCTAAAAACAGATGGATGGACTGTGTGAAAGATGATATGGTAAGAAAGGGAATAAATAACGAGATGACTGCGAACAGGGATGAATTGAAAGAGAAAAATATCAACGCCAAATAAATGGGATAAGAAAGAAGCAGATGACATTAGATTTCGATTCCAAATTTAAAGAAAACTTGCGGTAAATAATTTCGCTTCATATTTAGCTGAATGTGGATTTATTGCTGTGAATGATTTACTGGTAAAAAAAAGAAATCGGCTCGATGTAACACGACATGGAGACTTGAGACTGAAGCTAACCAAATTGGAACCTAATGTAAAATCTCTGTGCCACGCATCAAGCGTAAGGATCTCACTATATTAAAGTAGAAGAATCTTTATTAAATTTATTTGGAATTTATAATTCAGTTTTTCATTAGTCTTGAAAATTGACTTACAGTATTTTGTTAACAATTTCCCAGTGATTTCTTCCTAAAACCTATCATTTTCTTAAGTAAATAATTAAATTTTTAATATTAAAAATTATGCTTGTTACATAAGGGGAAATTTAGAAAGACTCGAGATGGCACACAAGGTTAGGTAACACTAGAGTAGACAAGAAAGAAGCTATACCTAAACTTACTTAATTCTCGTAAAGTCTCATAAGTAAAACTAAAAGTAGATATATAGTATTACAAACAAATATATTATACAGATAATTTTGCTAAAGAGATCACAAAATCCATCAAAATATGTACCTGTCTATAGTAATATAATTATAGCTACATTTATTCATATGGTTTTATATATCAGCAGCAAGTTCAAGGTCTTCTACGAATGTTTAAAAACAAGAAATGGCGCACAATAGTAGGAAATGGTTTTGTAAATTTTATTTTCGCTCAATAACGATCTATACTAACTGTAGACGTAATTGCAGAACGTCGTAAAATAGTGGAAACACCATAAACTGAATGGTATTGAAACATTCTCGTATCAGGAATTAAGAAATGCTTATTTCGATAACATAATTTTGTAAAAACTATGCATGTATACAATGAAGTAATTAATATTACAGAATAGAATAGATATATATATATACAGATCTGAATGAAAGGCGGTCTTTCTTTTCGCTGTTCTGGAATCACCTTCTAACGATGGTATTTCTGAACCTTACGATATGGTGGAACCCCTAAAAAAAAGACCTCATTCCTTCTTAAAAGGCTGGCAATGCACTTGCAGTTCGCCTGAGGTTGCAGGTGCTCATGGGCGGCGGTAATCACTTACCATCATATAAGCCGCAAACTCGTTTATCCCCTATGTAATAAAAAGAAAATAGTCGTATATAAATTAAAATAATAATTATATTTATTTAGTCTACCACAAATTCGGAACGCAGATTCATCACAAGAAGAATGACCAAGAAATTTGTGTGTTACTTTAATATAATAAAATAACATTCGGCGGAAGTGACACCTGCAAATATTGCACTTTAATAAGATGCAAATAAAAAAAATAATTTAAATATACCTCGATATAAAACAGTCGTAATATGTTACGTAATTCATATTTTATAGATCTAGAACAAACTTGGTGATTTGTCAAGTTTTGATAATTCCGTCGCCATTTTTTTTAATGGATGATAATGGTACGGTGCAACCGTTTGCGCTGGCGCCTCGCCACCAATGGAGGATGATAGTCGAGGTCAGGTCAGTTAGTCCATCGCGACGAATTTACCAGGAATTTATCTCAATGGATTCCAGGAGGAACTGCATGGAGTTCAACCTGACGTGGTACTTTGCTAGCAATGAGATGGTTAGTCCACATTGCTAAGAATCTGTTCCCCCAGTTCATCATCATCAGCCCACTACAGTCCACTGCTGGACATAGGCCTCTCCCAAGGCACTGGGCACGATCTTCAGCCCTTCTCTTCCATTTTTTACCCGCAACCCTATGTCGTCGCTCCACCCAGTTAGGAGTATTGTATATTGTCTACGTTGTAATTTTTTTTATGGATGAACCCACCTGTGCTGGCGGGGCATCAGTGAAGGATTGTAAGATAACCATGTCAGGTCAGTTAGCCCATCGCAACGAATTCACCCGGAATTTATCACGATGGTTTCCAGGGGGAACCACGCAGAGGTCAGTCTGACGTAGTACATTGCTAACAATGGGATCGTTAGTCTAACAATCCGCTTCCCCCCAGTTAGGAGTATTGTATATTGTTGTCATTGTGCTGAACGCATTTGTTATGTCCATGTCGTTGGGTATATTTGAATCAAACGTAGCAGGGGCGAACCTACCGCAAACATCTAGATTTACTTTGGTTTGTTAAAGGTGTTCCTATCACCGGAGAGTTAGTAATATAAGTTTACACAATTTGTGTCCGCACTCTCGATCTTCGGAATGTATTAATATACATTCCGAAGATCGAGAGTGCGGACTGCTGTTCATTTCTAGCTGTTCATTACACTAATGTGTAATGAACAGCTAGGCCAAGTTTGGTAATTTTTTTTTATTTATTAGCAAACTTACATGTTCCAGGTTGTCGACATGCATGCCGTTAATGAAATCATATCCATTTTGGAGAAAATCAATATCACAAAAGAGCTGCTGGAGGTCAGTATCTATACATCTTACTTATATTATACACGCGGGAGTTTGTCAGTGTGGATGCATGAATGGATCTTTGTTACTATTTCACGCAAAAACTAGTATATGGATTTTAATGAAACTTTACAATAATATAGTTTATACATCAAAATAACAAAACAATATAATTTAGAAATATATGTAAATTGGGCGAACTATAATGATAAATGTCAAGTAAGTGTAATGCAGGCGAAGTCGCGCGGGGTAAACTAATAATATTATAAACGCGGAAGTTTTTGAGTGTGAAACACAAACAAACAAACAAACATATCTATCCATCCAGGATAGATATGTTTGTTTGTTTGATACTATTTCACGCAAAAACTACTATACGGATTTTATTAAAGCTTTAAAATAATATAACTTATACTTAAGAATAACATATAGGCTATAAATTTTTCGCAAGTTAAACCGCAGACACAGCTTGTATATATATATGCGAATTATGCCAGTATTATTCAAAATATCATTAACATTTTAGCATATTTTTTATGAAATATGAATAAAGTAACTGCTGTCTCTAAATGAAAGATGTATGAGAAAAGCTACTCTTTGGGTACTTTATAAAGGTAATACAATGACTATAAATGTAGCATCTATGCAACGCCATCTATTATTTAATTAATAATAACTCTGAACAATTCACACAGCCTCAGCAGGCACAAATGTTTGTATTTTTCTTATGTATGTACAAAAAAGGTATCTATATATTTGTAGTAGCTGTTCCCGCGACTTCGTCCGCGTGGAATATAACTTTATTTTTCTAAAATAATTTGAATTTAAGGAGTAACTTAGGCTATTTTAATTAAAGAATGTTTCTTTAATAAAAGTAGCCTAAGTTAATCCTGATTACATCAGCTACCTGCCAAAAAAAGTCCCGTCAAAATTGGTCCAGCCATTTCAGAGATTAGCCAGAACAAACAGGCAGACAGACAAAAATTGTAAAAAATGTTATTTTGGTGTATGTACCGTATTTATAGTCATATGCATGTAGTAAAAAACGGTTATTTCAATATTACAAAAAAAACACTGAAATTTTATTTATATGTATAGATTAGTTGTCTAGTACTTATACTAGTATGTATTGTCTTAGATATTATTTTTTTATATATATAAAAATAATATTCCCAAAATTCCAGACCACCCGACTGGGCAAGCACGTGAATGAACTCCGCAGAAAGACTTCAGACCCGACGTTGGCGAGGCGCGCCAAAGTCCTCGTAAAGCGATGGCGGGACTTGGTCATACCCACGGTGGCGTCCCCGGGTCACACAGGCGAGTACCGTATATTGACTAGTTCCTGGTGAATTGAGCATAGTTTCCTGATGTTAAGATAATGAGCTAACTGCCCTCGACATCATGGTCATCCTATCATCCTCTACCCGTTCTCTGTGAGCGAGAATGTGAGCTGGCTGGTGCACCATCGTTTGGACGCCAACCAGTATCGCAAATCACCAATATTCGAACCCTATTCAATGCCTCGTCCAGAGACAAAACACGTGCGCAATATGGTTGTAGATTCAATACCATTCGGAATATGATCAACAATTGAGTATACCTGAACAGCACATGTGCATGTAAAAAACGGTTATTTCAATATTACAAACAGACACTCCAATTTTATTTATATGTATATGTATTTACAATGACAAATAAGTTATCCTACCTGATGGTAAGCATATATATATATAAATATTAGCTACAAGGACTACGGACATCACGTTGTCAAGAGACACCCGTGATATTACTCATGTATTACTATTTCAGAGGACTAAGATATCTATATAATAAGAGGCATCTTATCCTGTAGCGATAGTCATAAATATGACGTATACAAGAAACAGAAAGGTGGCATACCACCTTCTAACTCTAACTCAAAATAAAACATTCCCATAGGAATGTTTTATTTTAAGTTAGAGTTTGATCCAGTATCTTGGCTGCCTTTACGCATCCTACAACCGAAACACAAGTTACAAAGCAACCTGCTTCGCAGCTGAAATGGTTGAGACTGAAATATCCACCCGGACGACTTTTTACTAACATCTAGTTTTGTATATAATAATAATATTATAATCTCAGGATAATTCACACAGTGCTATCTAGTTACAAGTTAAGCTAAATAAAGCTTGTGTTATGGGTACCATATAACCGAATCAAATACATTGATATATTTATAAAACACCCAGACCGACAAAACAATCATACTCATGAATAGTAATGTTTGTGCTGTACGAGGAATCGAATCAGCAAACATCGGAAGTAAGGCGGTGTGTTACCGCTAGACCACCGAGCCGTTCGAGTATTTCCATATTGTTGAATCCAGGTGAAGTAGACTCGAGGTCGTCTCGCTTGAAACCGCTACAAAATCTTTTTAAAACATTATTAAAAACTTGCCTTCTCCAGGGTCCAATCGTTCTTCAGCAGAGCGATCAGTTCGCCGGCTGGGCGGCACTCCACTAACCTCGCCAGCACTCTCGCGGGTACGTCGACTTCTCTGCAATCATTTCCACTGCTATACTGCCGTAGTTTACTTATTTTTTTATTAAATTATATATAAAAAAAGCACTTTGCTTCTTAGGGAAAGTTGTTCAGTTATATATCCTTTCAAATAACATCTAAAATAATTGATTGATATGGGACATTTTAGCCACTTATGAACGTAATTTATTTTATATTTTTTTTCCTACCGTCCAGTTCAGTATACAGATTCAATTGAAAAGGACTGCCAAGAAAGTCAACTGAATTTCTTTTTGTTTTAAAGCCACTACGCATTGTGTACTTCTGTAGGTGTATATATCTAACATAAAACTATTACTTTCGTCTTGGTATGCCCATTATGACTTAACCTGTATATAAAGTTACGTCAGGTATTTTAGTAGATTGTGTGCCACTTATGTATAGTGAATATAATTCGCATCAGGTGGTGAGTCCAGCGGTGGCCAGTCCACGTCCGCCATCACGTCCTGGTAAGTTGAAGCATGTTTCCTAAATAAGTAGGCTAGTGACAAATCGTCGGAGCCAGAAAAACAAGACAAGGGCACTTAGGGTTATAAAAAAATCAAGTATGAATAACACGTTGGGGGTTAATGTGTAACATTATATCAAAAGTGGTTAGAGGAGGAGACACAGCATCAAATAGTTTCTGAGATGATCACAGGCAAACGCAAGAAATAGAAGTAATCTTTATTCAAATAAACTTAATATAAGTACTTTCGAATTTACCACTCAGCCGGAATGCAGACTCTTAACAAGAAGAATGAGCAGGAAATTTGCGTGTTGCTCTTTTAAATAAATGTTCTGAATTAAATATTTAAGAATTTTGTATGAATATAAACTACCAAATACCGAAGTTGACATAAATAAATAAATTGTTACTTGAGTAACACAATAAATTAGTCATAGATAGCCGAGTAGACCAGTCTCCAGAAGCAGCACCCGTTCATGAGAGTATCGGTTGAGCCAGTCATCACTGCGATCAACCCTATTTTAGGGCAAGTATGTCTGTCTATGCTTCACCTAAAATAGAGTTGAGTGCAGTACTAAGAACCTAAAAGTAACTGTTTAGTGATCTATAACAATGATGGTGTCCCCAATATTATTTTGTCACATATATCTTCTATGTACAGACGTCAATCGGTAACATTATGTGTTGTGTTACAGCGTGGGGCGGCTACGAGTCAGACTCCCAGGATGTGATCCTGGTGGACGACGACCCCCCCGCGCCCGCACCCGCACCGCCCTTCAAACCGGCCACGCCGCGTTAGTATACCACTCACATTGTTGCTACTACCTTCACACAATACTACGCCCTAACGACTATACAGCAATTATTTGAAATAAACCATATGTCCATTGAAATAAGTTTTAGATTACCATATTAGAGACTGTTAGTTTGTATCCATTGCCTATGACAGTACGGAACATTTTGTTAGGGGCCGTCCATTAATCACATGATTTTTTTTAAAGAAAAAATACATAAATACTGCCTTAGAACAATCATCTCTTAGATGATATTTTAAAGCCGTGTTTCTCAATCTGTTTCAACCCACAGACCCCTTGAAAATCAAACACAGTTTTAGAAACACTGTTAAAGAATAATCTATCATCTAAATGTATATAGAAAAGACGGTGGATACAAGAACCAAAGGTTCTGCGGATCATAGGTTATAAAACATTATTCCAGAAAATTCGTGTTTTCAAAATTGTTCGTAGTTTTTAGGATAAATGTATTTTATAGTTGTACATATTTTATTGCAGCTGTAAAAAGGACACAGTCACCGGCGCCTCCGCACGATGAAAAGAAAGCGAAACGGGACAAAAAACCCAAAAAGAGAAGGTAAGTGAAGCACCCATTCTATTTATGTGTGGTTTAGGAATGGCTTGATATTTAATATAGCAACTAATCATATTTCAGTAGGATAATTAACGGTTATTAACGGTTGTACGACTGCAAAAAAAAAGAGTAAAAATCTGTTTTTATATTGATAGTTTTTTTTAAATATAGGAATATCTGGTCTGGGTGAAGAGATACCTATATTCTCTGGGATTTTATAGTCCATAATTTTCATACTTGTCCAATAAAATAGACCAGTCATGTTTAATACCTGGAAATGAGCAAGGCTAGACAAGAGTTTCTAATTGAGCATTCTTTTTTAAAGTTGATTTATTTTTTGTTAGGTTAATCTTTTTGGTACTAAAAATATCAAGCATAAAATGCGGTTAATAACGAAAAATGTATTTTTAACCGTTTGGTTAAAATTGTTAATAAACGGCTAACAATACTATAACTGTCTAATATTCAGCCGTTCACGCGTAATGCAGTGACCAATTTTTTTTTTCGGACTACTCTAATGCTGTTGGCCGCAGCTGGCCTTTACAGCTTCACCGGACGTTAGGGGCGAGTGCAGATGGCACTCCAAACCCGCGGAAGGACTTATGGAGCGGCTGAAGGCCGACTCCTACCTGACGGATACGACTTTAGTCTGAGGGCACCACTAGGGGTTCGAACCTCGGCTCAGGCCGTCGTAATTTCGATCCCCGTTTGAATTGGACGGGGGATCGATCGGAGGGGCGCCGGAGCGTCCGGGCGCTCGCAGACGCCCGGTTGAATACGCGATATTTTTTTTTTGTGTATGATAATGGAATGGTGCACCACCCGCCTGCGCTAACGGTTTACGCTGGCGGGGCACCAGTGGAGGATGATAAGATGAGCATGAAGTCAGGTCAGTTAGCCCATCGTGACAATATCACCAAGAATTCATCACGATGGTTTCCAGGGAGAACCACGTGGAGGTCGACCTAACATGGTACATTGCTAGCAATAGGAGTTACTAGTTCCCATTGTTAACAATCCCCTTCCCCCCACTATGCGCGGTATTGTGTTTGAGGTCGTCGTCTTCGCCGGCGAGGACGGTGTCGTGTGTGTGTGTGTGTAAAAGTGTGGTCGGGGTGGAACGGGTGGGCTCGTGGGGAGGTTACCTGCCGTTATGGGGTCGCCAGGCTCAATGACAACGTGCCTCGGGCGACGTTGTCGCGTATGTCGGATATTACTCCTCGGTGCGTAGTCGACCGCACTGACTATAAGCGGGTTAGGGTGGGATGCAGTGACCAAGAGAAATAGGGATTTGTATTTAATTTATAATTTTACATTAATTAACTGTTATTATAAATGATTAGATCTGTGTTAGAAGCACGGATACCAAATACATAATGATTTATATATTTAAAATGTACCTTCTTAGTATATATGAGCATAGTAATGGTGTGCGCAGGGGATATAGTCGCGCGGGGTCTGGCGCGGAGGCGGCGGGCGCGGGGGCGGGCGCGGGCGGGGGCGGGGCGGGGGGTGGGGGCGGGGCGGAGGCGGCGCCCCCCGCCGCCCCCGCGGGCCCCGCGCCGCCGCCCGCGCCGCACGCCTGGCCCGCACGGAACGGCTCCGCGCACTCGGAGCGTCGCCGCAACGGCTACAGGAGGAACGCTGTCGATCCCTATGCCGCACTAGTTCATAAGATGCCGCCCGCCGGCGCTAAGAAAGTGAGTATATTTCTAAATTTCATATCATCGATTTCATAAAAAATGGTTTTTAATGTAAAGACTTTATAGTTTATTTCAGTACTCAGGTTCGATCGTTAAATTTCTTTCAGGTTAAGACTACTAAGGAGCTTCTAGAGGAGATCCAGTCGCGGAAAGGCAGTAAGCCAGCCGCATCCCCGTCACCTCCGGCCTCCCCTTCCTCGCCCGACGTCATGCTCATAGAGCCCGAGTGTGAGTACTCATTTATCACTAACTGATCTCCTCGACTCTGTATACCAGAACCAGAACTCTCAATCTAGGTAGTATAATTTAAGTTTATATGAAAAAAGTGTCATTTCGTCGTTCGCAGCTTATCCTGTGAAGGTGGAGTCGCCGCTGCGGAACGGCGGCGGGTCCCCGCGGCCGCAGTCGCCCGCGGCCGAGGAGGCCGTGTGCGTGTTCCCCCTGGAGGAGGAGCGCGAGCGCGAGGAGTGCACGTGCGGGGACGTGGAGGAGCCGCAGTGCCCGGCCGGCGCGGGGCTGCGCGTGCGGCCGCTGCACGTGCGCGCGCTGCACCACGCGCTGCTGCCCGGCATCAACGGCACGCGCGCGCCCGCACACCCCCACAGGTTCGCGGTCCGCCCGCCCGCCCGGCCCGACCGCCCCGACCTCTTCTCCAGCGTCGTGCCGCTCTACAACTACTCCGACTACGCCGACGACTACTGCGCCAAGAACATGGACCGCGTGCCGCTCTGCGTTCATCTCCCGTGGACGGAGTTCGCTCCGGATCCCCCGGCGATCCCCGACCCGCCGTCGCCGCCTCCGCCGCGGCCCTACCCGTCGGAGGAGGCGGAGGGCGAGCACGCGACGGACGAGCCCGACGAGAGACTGAAAGCGTCGCCGGCCGCGGAGGAGGAGCGGGATCGGGCGCAGGAGACGGGGGAGGCGGAGCCGGCGGGCGAGCCGACGGCGCAGGAGCAGTTCGCGCGCGAGGCGCCCGAGCACCGCACGGTGGAGCGGACGAAAGCGGAGCCCCCCTCGCGGCTGGACGGGCGCGCGCTGGCGGCGGCGGCGGCGCGCGCGCGGGCCGCCGTGCCGTACGAGTACGCGCAGCTGGCCGCCGCGCCCGTGCTGGCCGCCGCGGACCGCGACCACGAGGACGCGCTGCGGGCCGCGCTGGCCGCCGCCGCCCAACACACGGCCCGCGACCACCTCGGCCGGCCCGCGCGCGCGCCGCACTTCGCGGAGTGGCACGAGTGCGCGCGGCTCGGGGACCTGGTCGCGCTGCCGTACGTCGTCATCGACTGACGCCCGCCCCCTCGCTCCCCCCGGCCCCCCCCTCGAGTGCCAAAGCCGCGCCGCGATCCAAGTGTCCTTACGTTAGATATAAGCGCAGCCGTCGTGTGAGTGTGTCGCCCGGTCGGCCCGCGTGAGTGTAGTGCGCGCGCCGTGCGTCGTCCGGGGTGAACGGTCCGACGTGTTCATAGTCAAGTGTCGACCGATGTGTTTTAGTCATATATTTATTTTGTAACGCTCTAGGAGGAAACAAATTTTGTACGCGGTGGATCGTCTCACGCCAGTTGTGATATTATGGTTATATTGAAGTGTTTACGTGGCGCCGTGCTTCGGTATGGCGCGCTTCACGGACGAAGTTGTGATTATTTAAAAATACACTGATATTATTACGTTCGAAACTGTTATATAAATTTTACAACTCTAAAATCGACAATATTAATGATTCGTTCACGACGGTTGATTACTGGATCACAGCAGCAGACGATTTGAGATGAATTTGCTCAACTCTTATCTGTATTGACATCAGTGTTGTGAAATTTAAAAATACAAATGAAACAGTATAGATCTCTATTCCATATTATGAATTTTATCTCGCTGAATATAAGGTTGATTTCTGATTTCTAGCACAGTATCTTTTTACTTGTTAGGGTTATTAATTTCTTAAAGCCATGAATTTCAAAGCTTTTTTGTAATGAATATGCAACTGCACCAATAAGTAAGTGCACCTACCTGTGCCAAAAGCTTACGCTGACTGAGCATTGATGGAACATTATAGTTACTCCTTATAACATTAGCATTCTGCGAGTGAAAGTCCCATCAAAATCGAGCCAGCCGTTTCAGAGTTTATCAAGAATCATTTATTATATAAGTACCGTATATACTTTCATAAGCATTTAATGATAAGATATTAATTTGAAATTATAAATGATTTAAAATTTTTGTATATCTACAAGACGAAGTTCGATAAATTTTAGCAAGTAAATTGATACTGTGGCCAAATCTATAAGTAACCTACATTTAACGATTACTTAGACGTTAGCTACATTCCGTCAGTTGAAGCTAACGGTCGCAGAGCTTAATTAAACTCACATTTAACTCCGATCCACCTATTATTTGTATAGGATTCAAAATAAGACAAAAAAAATCTCCAACTTTCGTATTGATTGTTACCGATTGTGATTTATGAAATGGATGAAATTAGGTAATTAATAATAATAGGAGTTCCAATTGTATATTATACATATATATTGCTATATCATTCTTTCAAATATCAATAATATATAATACTTGCAACATATAATGTCCAAATGACCATACAAAGTTATGATTATAACATAATAAAGAAAAAATGATTATTATTATTCATTGTAAAATATTATTGATAAAGGACTTGCAATCTGTGAGGTGTATATGTGGGAAATACTAACAGTATACCGTGGTTTTCGTCGCGTTAATTTACAATGATAATGCTGTAAATGTTGATTTAGAATATCATTCATTTTTGTACTAAATTAAAAATCTGTGGGTAGTATACGCAGAGATTGAGTCATTTTTGTAATATTTTTTTTTAATTCAATTAGGTGCTATACTGAAATCAGTGCCAATGTCACATACATGAAATATTAATGAATGATAATGTATAATTCAAGAAGGTGAAAAGATCCGAAACGGTGTAATCCAATATCATTGGATTGTAATTGGTTTCCATGGCGAGTTCACATGATCAAATGTGATCAATCATCCTCTATAATTTGTCCTCATCGTCATCATCATCATCATCATCATCATCCTCGGCAATTATTTTATCATTACATAGTAAAACAAAGTCGCTGTCCCTGTCTGTCTGCCCCTATGTATGCTTAAATCTTAACTACGCAATTGATTTTGAAGCGGTTTTTTTTAAATAAATAGAGTAATTCAAGAGGAAGGTTTATATATGATACATGTAGACCCGTGCGAAGCCGGGGCGAGTATCTCGTTATATAATAAAACAATTACAGGCCAGCATAGTTACACCTTTCAGTTACAAGAGAAAAATAATAATTTGTAAAATAAATGACGATTTATTTTACAAATTATTATTAATAAATTCGATTATTAAATGGGAGAAAGTCATGATTATCTTTGTATCCAAATATAACCTTAAAAAAATTTCAATGTCTTCCGTTTTAATATTACAATAAATCAATAAGATTTATATTTTTCAATAATCTTTACCAATAAAGATTTTACTTGCTCAATGAGAGGTAACTTCCATTAAATATTTATTATTTAAATTTTTATATTGACTCTACCCCCCAATTCAAGGTCACCTCAATTCCCTCATCACCCAATTTGAGCATCATTTTTACATATTACCAATATTTCGACGCCTTTACAAGCATACTCCTATCAACTAATACTCAAATGATAAAATGCATATTGCTATTATTTTTAATTACTATCTGTAAAAATACATCTTGACTACAGTGCAAGAACGTACTTATAGAGTTATTAATCATTTATAAATCTTAAACTTGTCTCTGGAAAGTAAAATCTGTGGAATAAAAAAATAAATTAAAAAAAAAGTGAAATGACACCAAACATGAGCAAAATCGCGCGAAACCTTTTAGGAATAAAAAAAATATATAAAAACATGTTGCTATTAATATATACAAACAATAGCTGTTTGTATTAAAAAAAAAAACAGCAATACATCTTTGTAATAAAAAAAATATCACACAGATTGCAATGTCTTTTACTTGTTAAAGTTGCAAGTAAAGTTATGAGAGTAAAGGTTGTGGCCCGTATATACCGGTGGTTTTGTATCAGCCATCAGGCCGTTGGGCGTGGCATAGCGGGCTGCAGCCGCGCCGAGATTCGGTGGGTCTGTCTATATGTGCCAATTATTTTAGTGCCACTATGTTAACAATCTTGCAATGACATTATTTTTATAAGTTTAGATAAAATTTTATAATTAAGAGAAGATACAGTACTTTAAACTTACAGTATAAAACAGTTGCCGCCGCTGTCTTTTCGCCTAGACCTTTTAAATTATGCAACGGATTTTAATGCAGTTCTCAACAATAGATAGAGTGATTCAAGGAGAAGGTTTATATGTATAATACATGTGTGTTATAGTACAGAACAAGTCGAGAAATTCAAAGATTTATAATGCGTCCGTGTGAAGCCGGGACGATTCGCTAGTTAATATTTTGCTTTGTCAATTTTCACGTCGAAACTATATGACAAAAAAATTGGTGTAAATATCATCATTGGCTTGCTTTTAGCATATTATTTGGTGTCGGCACTATATTTTTTTTAATTTGTAGAACATTGGCGGGAAAATATATTTTTTTAAATAATTAAAATTAAAAACTCTCCGTTAAAATAGTATACGGATATATTAATTTGGCGCAATGAATGCTAGTACATTTTTTTTACATGGTACTAATATTATCTAAGTTATTTAACTGACTTTGCAAAAAATTACGTGATAACGTGATGAACATAGTGTTGTGCTGTTCATGTATATAGGCGACCGTCACCACTCACCATAAAGTGGCTGTCTGCTTGTTTACCATTTACTGTATCTTCTCTTTTTTTATAATTAATGAAGGATGAAATTTCATATGAAAGAAGTTGAAAATTAATACATTAAAAATATTTGAAGGTTCCGTTGAATTAGATAACATAAAAACTTGTACATATATTGTGAATAGATATATTTTGAATATATAGGTATTGGTATCAATATAAATTTTGTTACATTATAAACTACGGAACTGTTAAAAATTTTTAATGTGTAAATTTTATTTAATCTCACTTCGATATTCTGTAGATTTTCTATTCAAGTAGGTATTATAAATTTTGTAATAAAAATAATAAATAAATAATTGATTTTCTCCGACAATCAAAACATATCCAAAGAATATCAAATTGTACAGAAAGGCATAATACAAAAATATACCACACGCGTGTCAGTTAAGTTATGATTTTGTATGATTGAAGTTTTTTTTAGTTTATTCATTTACGGTGGTGAAACCACTGCGTTTAGGATTACGTTGCTTTTATAAATATAACGGTTTAATTATGTAATTATGTTAGTAACAATTGGTAATTATAACAGACTAGCTGTGACCGCGGTTTCACTCGCGCGAAGTTTATAGCCTGTTATTCTGATGCTATATTACTGTAATATTACATCGAAATCCGTTCAGTAGTTTTTACGTGAAAGAGTAACAAACATCCATCCATACTCACAAACTTTCGCGTTTATAATATTAATATTGATTGGTTTGCAATAATGTATGAACTATTTGAGAGCTGCAGATGCGAGCTGAGTTGCAACTGTGAAATGGTCCGTACATAACTGCAAATAAAAAGGAGTTCAATCAGTTTTAAATGGGAATTGTTATTAACATACTTATATAATCGAGTTCCAGTGTTGCATTGAGTGTTTTGTCTCGTATTTTCAGTTAAAAAGCAATCTGAAATCATTATAAAAAATTTAATAATTGTGTTTTTTTCGCCAATTATAATCACATAATTGATTCGCTATTTTGTATAATATCAAATTAATTGATAAATTCGCAATTATAAATTGTATTTGAAATAACGCCTTAGAGCATACGCCAAAGAATACGTAAACTTATAGTTTAGAAAATAATTATCTGAAAATAAATACATTTTTTTATATGTATGCCAAAATCTCCATAGTAATAAATACTGCAACCTTCCACAAAACTTATTTACTATTACAGTATCTTTTAAATTGAATTAAGCTGTACTGAAAGTTTTTTCAAGTAAGGGGGTAATGTTATAGTGTCGATTTTGTAAGCCTCGGTATGTATGTAGAAATATCCGGGTAATCTCTAGAATATCCATTACCCATTTGATAAAAACTCCCCATTTTCAAATACGTTGTTTTAGATGAATTAAGTTTATATTGTGTAGATTGTTTAATTCAGGTGAAGTCGGTACTCTAGTTAGTAATAAGAGTGGCTAAACAAAGATCTAAATTGTGTATTAATAATAATAGGTCCGACTTAAGTAACCTACGTAATATAAACTTTACTTATCTGGAATAAAGTTCGACGTCGTGTGTACGCAAATTCCAGAGTCGGCAACACGGACCTACGTGACACCTCTGGCGTTCATAGATAACCGTTTACCATCAGATGGGCCGTATGCTCGTTTGTCACCTACATAGTATAACAAAGATTGTAACAATTATTATTATTCTTCCTGAAGATTTGAGTACACACGAGATGATCTAGAGCTCTTCCCACCACTGCTCAGATATTGCCCCGATTTTAGCATCGTGTATAAATTGTTTTCCAACAAAAACGAGTATATGGTTTCAGCTTTCATTTTAGTGTATTAAAATGAAAACTGAAAATCATATACTCGTTTTTATTGTAAAACAACGTATAATATATATTTTAATGGTAACAGTGGAGACAGTTGAGTTGACATATTTTTTTCTTTTTTCCGACTACTCTAATGCTGTTGGCCGCAGCTGGCCTTTACAGCTTCACCGGACTTCTTTCGGCTGAAGGCCAACTCCTGACTGTTTTTCGTTACAGTGTACAAAAATAAACTTTAAATATACTAATATTAAGAGTTTCTCAATAATTTTGAATGCTCTAAGGCAATTTCGATTGCAACTAATTTTAATATTTTTTTATATCTCTCTCAATACATTTCTGTTATTGACTCAAAAAAAAAATTATTTTTAAGTAGACTTGAAAAGTGAATCTGAATTTTCCTAAAATTTGTTTTTTCTTTATAATTAATCCAGTATTATATTGAGTGTGGTTCAAAGATTTTACTTTACATAATCATATCACTGTGTATATAATACAATAAGTAAAAATGAATTATTAACAAGTTTCGTTATATGTTTGGAAGTTAAGACCACGAATGTGAAATGTATGTATCACAGTTTTTTTTTGTTGTTAGGTTTTAGAATCCTGGTATTTGTGTACGCTTATTTTTGTAGATTCTTTCGATTTTGGGCCCAGTGCGTAATCTGATTAGTTTATATTGAGCCCAATGGTTTTATAGTTGCTCGACAGTCGCCCGGCGAGCTACGACTAACAGAATTAGTCTAGTTTATTCCGGTTAGTTTTAGCAATGAATGATGAATATCATTGACACCTTTTTTTTATTTACTAATTATTGATTGTGTTAGAATGTATCTTTAAGAAGTAATTTCAATTTAATATTCTCAGTATTTTAGTTTTTTTTTATTATCTTTAGACAGTTGAGAAATTATTTTTTTAATTAATATTTTAAATTTATGCGTACACAATTATATGCCCTATGTCTAAAACTTTACTGTTGAAAATCAGTTGACTAATTTTAGTTGTATTATTTTTTGTTTTCAAGCGCAGTTGCTCTCTTTGCCACTTGTAAATGTAACTTATAGTTCTATATTACTTTGTTATAAGACAGATCCACTGAATGAGGCACAGAACCAAAAGGCCTTAAGCGTAAGCGCGGGTGAACCCTGGCGAGGAGCTTGTATAGTATAGAGCGACGGTTATGTAACCCGCAGACTGCCTTCTTGGACTTGATCCAAATTTTTGGTAAAATAAAGCAAAATATATGTGTTTTTATTACGATATCTTCTTTTATTTCAGACTAGCTACCCACTCGCGTTTAACGCGGGTGCAACCTCAATATACCCAATGTTTCTCTTTTATCTTCAACTGGCGACTCGTCCCGACTTCACACGGTTGCAATCTTAATTTGTATAGAAAAAACCCAATATTTGTCGCTAATAACTAAATCCGTTAAGCATTAGAGTATTTGACATAAGCCATAACAAACGGCAAATGAAATATTTAAACTCAGTCCGCGTTGAGTGTACGCGTTACTAATATAATAAGCCTTGTGCCACTATCAAATCTTGCTAATGTTATTCAATTATTACACAGAGTATACTTACTATCTATATATACAGGAAATAAGTAAATGAAACGACACCTCGTCACATAGTATATAACGCTACAGCGAGGTGATAATTCATTGCGTTACAATAGCATAAGCAGGATAAAACTAGTCTAAATTAATAGAATAAAAGACGAGATATCAGTTAATATAATTTATTAATAATAATAAAATTACAATTAATTTATACAAAGTATTAAAGTCCTTGCAATAACGATAATGGCACTTGTTAGTTACGTACATAATAAAATTGGACAAATATAAACATTATTTAATAACTAATAAAATAATATCGGTTTGAGATTCATTAGAAATTACTTGCGAGTAGGTGCCTATATAATTTGTTTATATATAACGTATACAATATTAGTTATACAATGTAAACATACGACGTCGAAGGGCAGTATTCATAAAACTGAAATTTCCTAAATAATTATGATTTACCATTTCATTTTTATTATATACTATCTACCCGTCCTGGTTACGCACGGGTATACATGTGTTATAGATATAAACCTTCCTCGAATGAATTACTCTATCTGTTGCTGTAAACTGCATTAAAATCCTCAGTGATTAAGAAGATATAAGCGAACAGACAGCGCCGTCGCTTTTTATACTATTTAAATATAAAGAACTATAAATAATCTATAAACATTAGTTTTGTTGAAAGATAAATTAATTAACAGATTAATGTAGATTTTGAATTCGTCACAAAACTTGTGACTATTCCCATCACTTGCCACATAATCTAATTTCTCCCCCGGGAGTGTGTTATGTATCGTGATTTCTGAACGCATCTATTTCGATATGTTACCGAACGTCAAAATCCTGTAACCTTTACTGATATATTGTTTGAGAGAATTCTTAATAAAAGTATCTAATAATTATCATCGTTTCGTATTATTTAAAATAACAGTAGAATAGTGACAGTGACATTTCTTGACCATTGACCTTTGATGTTTAGGGTCGTCTACAATTTGGGTGACAATTTATGTATGCCCCAAACATAAATGTGACAAAATAATAAAATAACAATTACTCAATGGCAGATTTTGAAACCTAAGATTAACCTATGTTGTAAAAGGCAACCAACATATACCTAGATGTAAAACATATATGCCAATGTATATACAAACGTTTAGTTTATAACCAATCTAGATTAGGGGAAAGGGAATTGTTAGTTATATGGACTGATAACACCATTGCTAGCAATGTACCATGTCAGGTTGACATCCACACGGTTCCCCCTGGAAACCATCGTGATAAATTCCTAGTAAATTTACCACGATGGGCTAACTGACCTGACTTCATGCTCATCCTATGATCCTCCACTGGTGCCCCGCCAGCGTAAATCATTAGCGCAGGCGGGTAAACCATATCATTATCATCCATTAAAAAGATTAATCTAGATTGTCCCAAGCTCCCATATACTATCTCTTGAAGAAGTATTGAGATTCTTGTATTCACACAAACTATAAGAACTATATTACTGTAAAATGAACATAAGTTTTAAAAACAATGTATCGTGTATTCGTGTTTTATCCAGTCCAACTATTAATTACTTAGTCCAGCTTATTGCTGTTGCATGCCTACTATTAAGTAGGGATGTGACATTTTACATGAAGAGTCGATTTATTGAATCGAATAAAAAATAATCGATTTTTTGGGCATTATCAGTTAATATCAGGCAAAAATATTTACACCAGATTTTGGGCCTTTCATCTGTGAGTGATTTATTATTATTTTTAAGGCCACAAGTTGATTTTGTTTATTTAGATCCTCAAGTGATTTTTATAGCTGTAAAGTCATTAAATTGATCCTATGTTTATTAGATCACTACGTTGGATGAATAAAATCGTATATTGATTAATCGATTTATTATCTTAAAATCGATGAAAGTTTTCTATAATCGAGAATGTATTCACATCCCTACAGTGAGAAGGTACGCAGGTTACATGATGACGCACGGCATCGCGCAGCAGAGCGGCAGGCAGATCGGTACTGCGGTCTTCTTCTCAGAGTGCTTCTCCTTGCTTCGCGCCCCGGATTCGTATTCGTACATGCCTCGGCCGGATGCGTACGCGCCGCCACCTTGCATCGCCTGCACATAACAGTAACATTAGGGTGGAGAGGGGATTGATTGGAACAATGTAGGTTAAGGATCTTATTGACCATCCCAGCAATGTACCATGTCAGGTTGACATCCACGCGGTTCTACCTGGTGATATCCCTATTCCTGGCATCGTAATAAATTCTTGATAAATTTGTCACGATGGACTAACTGACCTGACCTCATTTTCATATTATCATCCTCCACTGGCGCCGGCGGTGCATTATTTCAATATCGTCCATAAAAAATGTATTAACTGATGACAGTTGATAATCCATTATCAACGTATGGTACACTGACAATGGGGTCAGGTTGACCTCCACGTAGTTTCTTCTGGAACCCATCGTGATAAATTCTTGGTGAAATTATCACGATATGCTAACTGACCTGACTTCATTCCAATGTTGTCATCCCCCGCTAGCGTATACCGTTAGCACAAGCGGCTGCGTACTTCCTTAATCATCATCATCAATAGAGGAGCACGAGTTCATTAAGAGAGGAAGACAAGTACATTCAGAGAGGCAGACGAGTTCATTGAGAGAGAAAGACGAGTTTATTGAGAGAGGACGACTCATCGTCCTCTCTCAATAAACTCGTCTTTCTTTCTTTCTTCATACAGAGAGGAGGACGTGATCATTGAGCCTGTAATTGAGTCTGTAATAGACCGACATGAATAACAATATTTTGGTTTCATTCAATTTGTAATATATAAAAGGGTACACTCACACTAGATTGGTAACCAGCAGCTTCTTTCTTCACAAAAGGCGTGTGCCCCGGCGGGTAGTAGACCGCGGGGCCTGCCACGTTCTTGCTGCCGCCGGCGGGCACTAGCGGCCTGACTGGGCCGGCAGCGGTGTTGTTCTGCTCTTGAGTAGACCGCTCGTGTGTCACCTCTACCTTACGGCGGACAAGACCGTCCGGTTGCGTTGGGTATCTCTGTAAATAAATGGACAATTTTTTTCTTTATACATGATATATTGACGTGATATACATGATATATTGATGATATATTGACGGTCTCAGTGCTATTTACTTCCGACGGGTAGGCTGCTTCTACGGCTGCGCAATAATCTATAAGTTTGTAAACGTAGGTAATCAGCGTTTTTTTTTTTAATTAGTCTGTGCCGGAAAGGTTGTTATTGAGGTTCTCTGTAAATCTTCCCATAGTATAAAACAAAGTCGAATCCGCTGTTTTTTCGCTTAGATCTTTTAAATTAAGCAACGGATTTTAATGCAGTTTTCAGCAATAGATTCAGTGATTCAAAAGGAAGGTTTATATACCCACCCTGGGTATCTAGTATTATTTATAAGTAGTTATGTGAGTATTTTAATAAAATAGAAGTACATTCGAATGTTAGAATGTTATATTGAAGTTATTTAAAAAGTCATACTAACCGCTTCAGGGAAGTCAGCCAGCAGGTCGTCCAGCTTCTTGGGCGGCTGCTGCGTGCCGGCGGAGGGCGTGGAGGGGCGCGGGAAGGGCCCCGGGGTGGGGGAGGGGGACGGCGAGGGGCCCCGGGGACCCGTGCCCGGGTAACGCTGCGTCGAGTTCTGCGACGAGTATGTCGTCTCGCTGTACTTGTATGTCGTTGGGCTCTAATGAATAAAAACAAAATAAATTGGTCGTTAAATACAGTATTGGATAATAATATGTATTATTGTATATAATTCTTATGCGTGTGTTTGTCACCTAAATCCTCCCAAACGGTTGGACCGATTTGACTAAAATTTTGTGTGTATATTTTGACGGTTTTAGGATGGTTTGAAAACATTTGTACCCGGTATTTTTTTAGTGGGCCACCCACATCATTTAGGTATTGAATATTAGTTAGAAAATGAGATAACGACATATTTTCACACCTACCGAGTATACCTATAAAATATGAACAAAATCTGTTTATTAGTTCAGTAGGATTTAATCGCGCATATACATATACAGATTTACATCACGCATATTTTTAATATTTCACTATAAAATATTATTATTTTACATTATGACATAATACAACAGATTTCATGATTTTATGTAAAAAATGAAAGAAAAAAAAATTAAATTTTACGGAATGAATTACCCCTGCTTTTTAGTCTTTTTAGTTCAGAGGAGGAATTTTAAGGACAAAATGGGAGTCCTGTCGTATCAAGAATTAAAGAGCATGATGGAAGATCGCGGAAAGTGGCAAGAGCTCCACCGACAAGAGCGTAGCTCTTAAATTATGAATGAATGAATTTAGTTCAGAATAATGGTCTAAATTCGAAGTTTCCGTATATATGTGTATATATGAAACGAAACAACTCACATAAGTCGTATGTCCAGGGTGCGGATCGTGCGGTGTCAGCAGCTTGGTCTCGTTGGCTGGGGTCGGGTATACCACGCGCTCGTTCGTGTGTTCTGCAATGACAAACAGACAAACATATGTACACAACCTTCAAAAAATCATATTGTTACAGTTGTTTTCGAGTTACCTATAAGAATTACGCGTTGAAAGTAATTTAGCTTTATTAAATAACTAAAGGGGTGGTTAGTAATGTGAACTAGTTTGTTAATTTATACCGTTATTAGCAATGGATTCTGTCGGGTCGACCTCCACGCGAATCCCTCTGGAATCCATCGTAGTCAATTTAGAGTAAATTCCACACGATGGGCTAATTAAATTCCAATCCACGTAGAGGTCGACTTGACATAGTATATTGCCAATGGGGTTAATAGCCTCATTATTAACAATCCCTTACATCAAATCCCTATTTATTTTATTGAGGGGTTAGGGCTATTGTCAGGGGCTTAGACCTGTAGCACTGCGACCTACGTAAATCTATTGTGCTCGCCCTTTTTCAGAGTTCGCTACCTAGACCCGTCAGGGACAAGAATTGAAGGATATTCTTAGGAGCGATGGGTTTTATCTCCTCAGGATAGAGTGTAAACTTTCCAAAGGAGATATTTAGTTTCTACATGAGTGAGCTACAACCACATAGGATGTGTAGTGGCGTTTCCTCTTCAGCTTGGCAAAATCTACTTTAAATAAATAAATAACTTTGGACAATTAACACAGCGCCATCTAGTCCCATGGTAAGCAGTGCTTATGTTATGGATACTAAATAAAGAAAAAGAAAGAAATAAAGAAAATTGTTTATTTGGTACACTGAAAATAATTTTTAAAATAACTAACATAAATACTCATATATGTTTTATTTTTAATAAATACATACATAATATACATAGAAAACACCCAGACCGATACAAACAACATATTGATGAATACTGTGTGCACCGAGCGAGGAATCGAACCCGAGACCACCAGAAGTAAAACGGTGTGCTAAACCACTAGACTACCGGGGCCGTCAAATCCTTAAATAAACTCACCATCGGTGGTGGCCACTTGTCTGTACTCCCGGATGTGTGAGTTGCAGTGCGAGCAGTGCTGGCAGCCACCGGGACCTGTAGGGCCCACGGGCACCGGGGCCGGCTGCAGTGTGTTTGATGACGATCTGCAAGTAAGTGGTTATGGTCAAACTTTGAAATGGTATAGATCAGTGATTCCCAAATTGGCCTATATCGTCCCCCAGGGGCAAATGACAGACTGCAAGGGGTCTACGACAGCGGTCATCTTGTTTTTACTTTATATTTTTAACACGAAACTTTACTAAAGTTAGAAAGTTACAAAAAATCAATACCAGGTAAGAATAATGAAAAAATCAATACAAATAAGAATTGGGGTTCTACCCAAAACCGAAAAATATGGCAAGGGGTCTACGACACAAAAAAGTTAGGGAACCTCTGGTATAGATGGTAAAGGACCAACAGTGAACTAGTGAACTAGAACTCACGATTACTGCTTCGTAAAAGCATAGCCAGATCATTTGTATAAATATGAATAAATAAAAATTGAAGTGTTCACTTATTTGTTGTCTTATACGTGTGTGGCATTTTTTTAATGGGTGATAATGGAGTGGTGCGTTTGCCTGCGGTAACGGTATACTGACGGGACACTAGTGCAGGATGAGTATAAGGTGAGGTAAGGTGAGTCTGTGGTAAATTCACTATGAATTTATCACGATGGTTTCCAGCAAACATATTACAAGAGAGATGAAAGACGACTGCATGCAACTGAAATGCGAATGTTGAGGTGGATGTGGGGTGTGACCATTCTTGTCACACCACACATCCACCTCAACAAGATAATCATAAGATAAAGAATGAATACATTAGAAGAAGTATGAAAGCGGCGCCGGTATCAGAGAGGTTGTAGAGTAATCGTCTATCATGGTATGGACATGTAATGCGTAGGAATGAGGATAATATTTTAAGGAAGGTGTTACATATGGATGTGGTGCTTTATGTACACCAAACTATTCGGCCGGCACGGTTATAGCGTAGCGTCAGTAGGACAATGATTGCTGTTGTGAATTTAATAGTGATAATGATGGTTATAAGGGCAGAGGAAGGCCGAAAAAGAGATGGATGGACTGTGTGAAAGATGATATGGTAAGAAAGGAAGTAAATAACGCGATGACTACGAATAGGGATGAATGGAAGAGAAAAACATATTACGCCGACCACAAATAAATGGGATAAGAAAGCAGCAGATGATGATAGTTTCTAGGAAACAGGGAACCACGATATGGTAATGTAACTGTTATTTTGTACCGAACGCACACGGTCCGGGAGGCGCAAGGGGATATTACCCACAACACGTGGAGTTGTGGGTAACGATCCGATATTTTTATTTTCGGTAGCCACAACTCCACCGTTAGCACAGCACCATTCCATTATTAAGAGATTGCTTTGAGGGATTAGGCCGTCTATTGTTTTTTTTTCTTTTTAGTAATTATTTGTTTTTTTTATGCACAATAAAGAGTTTTATTATTATTACATAGTATAAAATAAACTCGCTGTCGCTGTCCGTCCGTCCCTATGTATGATTCAAGATTCAAGATTCAAGATTCTTTATTTGTAAAACATGCGTGATTACATAAGTAGATGATATACATACAAGGAATTTGTCCGACATGTTTAGCCTAGATGGCATACAATATATTTAAATGCTACAATAAAATATTAAATTTAAATGTTAAACAATAATAAAAAAGAATGATGTCATAATAATACAAAAACTACAACTTAAGTATATGCACAACAATATAAAATTAATAAAACATTTCGTCAAATTTATCATCTAAAATATGCTTAAATCTTTAAAACCACGCTACGGATTTTGAAGCGTTATCTTTTAATAGATAGATTTTAACAATGAGTTAATTAACATAAGTTTATGGTTATCCGACCATCCTCGTAAAACGTATCAAAGAGTCTGTACTAGACATCATTACATAGTATAAAACAAAGTCGCTGTATGCTTAAATCTTTAAAACCACGCTACGGATTGAAGTGATTCAAGAGGAAGGTTTATATATATAATACATGTACACCCGTGCGAAGCCGGAGCGAGTAGATAGTCATTCATGAGAAGTACTCACGTGCGCAGATTCTCAGCACGGCTGACATACGTGTGCTGGTGGTCAGCGTGCGACGGTAACGGTACGGTGGTGGGGTCCTGGTCTGCAGGCACCTCGTATGTGTACGTCTTCACAGTCGTAGTCACCTTGTTCATGGGCGTGCTTGAACGGGACAACTATCGACATAAACTAGGTTTTATATTGTAGTTTCTTGATGGTATACAACAATTATTAGAATAGAATAGGATAACTATAATGGAATGGAATAGAACAGAATATAATAGATGGAATAATAATCTCAGAACAATTCATACAGCGCCATCTAGACCCAAGTTAAGCTAGCTAAAGCTTGTGTTATGGGTACTAGATAACTGATACAAATACATAGATATATTTTTTCGTATATAATATTCATACATACATACATAGAAAAGACCATACCAATACAAACAATCATACTCATGAATATAAATGTATGTGCCGTGCGAGGAATCGAACCCGCGATCATCGGAAAGTATAGTAAGATCATCGGAAGTAAGGCGGTGTGCCAAACCACTAGACCACCGAGGCCGTCAAATATGGAATATGAATAGAATGGAATAGAACGGAATAGAATGAAATTGAATGAAATGGAATAGAATTAATAGATTTTTTTCTAATAAACCTAATTTTAATTATTTTTGTAGTCTCAGTTTTTTTTAATCTACTATTCATAAACCTGTCTCATATCAAGAGGAAGGAGCAGGAAACTTGCATGTTGCTCTTTTAAATAATTGTAGTAACTTTCATTTTTAAGTTGAAATGTGAATACAAACTGTCAACTAGCACTAATTTATTATTTGGCGCTGTGTGAAAATATATTTTTTATAGAAATCCTCGAAGACAACATCTTTGAACTCAGTCCTATAATATAGATGGTATTGGTAGTATAGTCCTCCCTCCGATCGATCCCCCGTCCAATTCAAACGGGGATCGATATTACGACGGCCTGAGCCGAGGATCGAACCCCTAGCGGTGCCCTCAGACTAAAGTCGTATCCCTCAGGCGGGAGTTGGCCTTCAGCCGCTCCATAAGTCCTTCCGCGGGTTTGGAGTGCCATCTGCACTCGCCCCCTATCGTCCGGTGAAGCTGTAAAGGCCAGCTGCGGCCAACAGCATTAGAGTAGTCCGAAAAAAAAAGTAATAAATGAACTCACCGTGCCGGTGTTGGGTTGTTGGTGGCAGTGGGAGCAGACGGCTGGTGGTACGATCTGTGGCACAGCTGGTGATATCTGCGACGGTACCACACGCGACTCTGTGAAATATATTGTTTATTCAAAATACCATAATTATCAGTATATACAGAATTAGTCAGAAATGGCCTAGTACTGTATTGTAACTTGTAATTAATAGTAAAGGTAATTGATCACCAAAGTATTATTCCTGACAGCACTTTATTTTTTCATAAATAATTAAATAAAATAAATATTTTTTGGTATTCAATAAAAAAAAATTAACGTCCTCGATTAGAGGAATGGTAAGTAGACTTGTAATATACAAAAAAAAATTATAACTAACCTGTCTTCTCTTCTCGATACATCTCCTGTCGCACCTCGGCCGCTCGGGAGACTGTAGGCGGCGGGCTGGACCCCCATGAGGACGATTCCACGCGTTCCTCGTGACGCAACGTGGAGTACCCACTGGAGGGAGCCTTTAGTGGAGTCCTGCATGACATGAGGGTAGAATATATCTAAATATGTATAACTCAAAGGTGAGTGAGATAGTGATCTATCAACGCACAGCTCAACCCACTGGACGGATCGGGCTGAAATTTGGCATGCAGGTAGATGTTATGACGTAGGCATCCGCTAAGAAAGGATTTTGATTAATTTTACCCCCAAGGGGACAAAATAGGGGATGAAAGTTTGTATGAAACTTTGTAAATTTTAAACCGATCGAGCTGAGACTTTGCATGTATAAATCTACTATGACATAGGCATCCCCTAAGAAAAGATTTTGATAAATTCCACCCCTAAGGGGATAAATTAACGCGGGCGAAGCCGCGGGCAAAAGCTAGTTTATTTATATACGCTTTAATACACAAATCCATAGTTCCTTACTAATATAATAACTGTAAAAGTAGGGATGTTTGTTACGCTTTCACGCAAAAACTACTGAACTGATCATCATGAAATTTTGTACACATGTTCTTGGAGGTATTAGAATGAACATAGGATACTTTTTATTAAAAAAAACTAATATTTTTTACTTAATGGACTCAATGCGAGAGAAGCCGCGGGTAATTTTTTTATACTACGTAGGTGTCAAATCTATATATGGCGAAGTTAACGCCAGTTATATAGGTATATTTACAATAAGGGAAACTGAGATCGCAAGTGGCGAATTATAATTAACAAACATACTTACATGTTAAAAATGCATATTAATGTATTTATAATGTTTAATTTATTAACTCACCCTCGCCTGTAGTCGAAAGATGAGCTTTCAGCGGTGTCGGAGGTGTATCCACCTGAAACAATATAAAACTTCTTCTAGTATAACTATAATTTTATTGTAGTTTTGTGTATAATTTACACTGTTTTAAGAATTTTTTACAGTTGTTTAAATTTGTACTACAACTTATTATCTTATTATTAATATTATAAACACGAAAGTTTGTGAGTATGGATGGATGTTTGTTACTCTATCACGCAAAAACTGAACGGATTTTGATGAAACTTTACAGTAATATAGCTTATAAATTAGAATAACATATAGGCTATAAACATGTGAGTGAAACCGCGGGCACAACTAATTTTATATATAAAGTTTTCGTTCCCATACTCCTCCGAAACGGCTTGATCGATTCTCATGAAATTTTGTGAGCGTAGGTCTGAGAATCGGCCAACATCTATTTTTCATTCCCCTAAATGTTAGGGGTAGTCCACCCCTAAAATTTTTTTTTTAAGGCAAAACAACGTTTTTTGGGAACAGCTAGTATTATATAAACAGGATATTTAGCGTAATAATATTATCACTTTTATTGTATATATTTTTTTCTTTATGTCTGTGCGTTTGTGCGTTAATGTAAAAACGGCTTAACCGAATTGGGTGCGGTTTTCACTGATGTATTGTATGTAGCCTCGGGCTCAATAATAATAGAGATCTCTATTATTATTCATGGGAAGAAGGTATGTTTATTTCTAATGATGGTCAAGTTGATTACGGGAGATTACGGGGAGGTGATATTTGGGGGTATAGAAAAGTATAATTATTAATCTTAATCTTATTCTAAATATATATAACTCAAAGGTGACTGACATAGTGATCTATCAACGCACAGCCCAAACCACTGGACGGATCGGGCTGAAATTTGGCATGCAGGTAGATGTTATGACGTAGGCATCCGCTAACAAAGGATTTTGATTAATTCTAAACCCAAGGGGATAAAATAGGGGACGAAAATTTGTAAGAAACTTTGTCAATTTCAAACCGATCGGGCTGAGACTTTACATGCATAAAGCTACTATGACGTAGGTATCCCCTAAGAAAGGATTTTGATGAATTCCACCCTTAAGATGATAAATTAACGCGAGCGAAGTCGCGGGCAAAAGCTAGTAATATTATAAACGCGAAAGTTTGTGAGTATGGATGTTACTGAACGGATTTGATGTAACTTTACAGTATTATAGCTTATGCATCAGAATAACATATAGGTTGTAATTTAAAAAGAAATGAAGTAAATTGAGTAGTGTAATGCAGACGAAGTTGCGCGGGCCAGCTAGTATAACTATAAAAAAGTGACTACATACTTTTATATAACTGCCTCTCCTGGTCCTTCTGCAGATCGTCCAGAAGTGAATCCAATTCCTCTACGTTGTGCGAGAGGTCCTTCGTTACCTTGGAACTCTTCACTTTCGTATACCCTGAAATAAAAATATAATTGCTGAAATATGATACGATATCATATCAGAAATACCACGCTGGAAGGTGATTCCACAATATAATTGCGAATTCACGAGGAATTCATAAGGTTGATTTCCAAGGGAAACCGAGTGGTGGTCAATTTGACAATGTACCACAAATTGCTAGAAATGGGGTCATCAGTCCACATTACCAACAATTCCATTTCCCCTCCAATATTCACATTAATAATTAATGTATCTTTAATCTTTAAAAAAAATTGGCTTTCTGCACTAGTTATTTATAAAATTCAACTGTACAAAGAGGATAATAAGTTGGTAGTGACCACAGAGCCAGATGAGGTACCTCTGGTTTTTTTTGTATCAATTACCTGGCGTTGAATTAGTGACAGTCTCGTAGTTGTAAGTCCTGGTGCCAGTGGACCCATTAAGTGCCGGCAGCTCCCTCTCTTCCCTCTCGTAGTAATATGAACTGGATTCTGAAGACTTGGGCACCGTTTTCGGGGGAATTGTGTATTCCTGTAATATATTGAAGATGAGTCGATGCACAGCATAAGGCAACTGATGTAATCGTTTCACGCTATTTAGATTTAGTTGGATCAAGTTAGTTTTAGAATTACACGTTACTGATAACTCCGAAAAAAAAAGACCACAGATCTTTAGCTCATTCGTATGAACAATCAAAATTTGAAAAAATGTTCAAGACATTGAAAATTAACAAGTTTTCAGAATAACGAAAGGAATATTCATATTGACTATAATAGAGTAGTACTCTTCGGACTATAATAGAATAGACTACTCGGACATATTCCTCTTAAATTATGAATTCCAAAAAACAGCAATATTCATAATATTAATACTAGATTTAAACACAAACTTGCTGTCCTCAAGTATCGTTTAGAAAAAGTCAATAGGTCTTTTATGGGAATAGGTATAAAATTTTACAATAAGATACAAAAGGATATATTGGAATTACCCTTAAATAAATTCAAAACATCTGTTAAATCATATTTACTGAGCAAGGCCTATTACTCGCTAAACGATAACTTGAATGACGAGCGTGCATGGCAATAGTTTTCATGTTCGGGATTTTCATTTAATGTTAGACATAGACACCTAAATAAACTGGATTTTTAAAAAAAAGTAATTCAATTGAGTTTATTGCCAGTTCTTCTCAATTGGATCTATATACCGAACTGGACGGTAGGGAAAAAAATTATAATGTAAAAACTTGACGTTCATAAGCGGCTAAAATGTCCTACATGAATAAATGATTTTTGAATTTGAATGAAATCAAACATTATCTTACTTCAACAGTGTGTAGATCTTTTCTGTCGTATTTGCCGGAGGGGTGTTTCTCTTCTTTGTACTCGTAGTGGTACTCCCGGGAGCCGGAACCGCGCCCCAACGAGTCTAGCTTGCTGCCCTTCGGCAGTAGGTCGCTTTTTATCATATCTGTAATAGAAGAATAGTCTGATTATTGTGGGCCAGTTAGAATTATTAGGATTGGGTCGCGAGAAGAGCATGGTAACTCTCCCATTCCTTTTCTGCGCTTGACCGCGTCGCCTAGGGCCCCATAGCTTTCCCCCCACCTCTGGGCATATCTTTGCGCACAGGTATAATAAGAACCAAACCAACCAACAAACTAATTACAAGTTTGAATATAAAATACAACCTATGTCGCGGATATGTACTGAGGAGTCCTTGTCCTCCTGTAAGATCGACGACATCACGAAGGTGGCCGAGAGTGGATGGATGCGAAAGGCGGAAATTTGCATGTGGTGGATAGATACAGGCTGAAATAATGATGAATTATGGTGACAAACTATGTCATTCTGATTAGTCCCATTCAAATTGGTTCGAACTCGGTTCAAACCTGTGGCAGTGCTCTCAAACTAAAGTCACATCTGTCGAGCAGGCGCTTACCTTCAGCTGCTCGATAAGTTCTGCCGTGGGTTTTGAGTGTTCTACACTCGCCTACATTTTTGTCCTATTAAGTTTAAATGCAGCTGCGGACAATAGCATTGGAAGTATTCGAACATCAAAACCTCAAATGGCCGTGGTAAATGTCATGCGTATGGGTAAGGGTATTGTTAGTAATATGTGCAAATGATCCCATTGCTAGCATTGTACCATGTCAGGTTGATCTCCACGCGGTTCCTCCTGGACACAGGTAATTTCTTGGTGAAATTGCCATGATGGGCTAACTGACCTGACTTCATGCTCATCTTATCATCCTCCACTGGTGCACTGCCAGCGAAAACCGTTAGAGCGGCGGTAGCACTATTCCATTATCATCCATTAAAAAAAAACTTCATGAGTGTTAACTATAAGGAATAGGGCATCATTCGTCCATAGGTACCCCTTTTTTTCGAGCTACTCTCATGCTGTTGGATGCAACTGGCCTCTACAGCTTTAGCGGACGATAAGGAGCGAGTGCACATGGCATTCTTTGTACATAATTTACCATGATAAAACTTGGAGTGTCATACCAAATTGCTCCTCGGTGTACGGGACCACATTTCCCCTGCTGCTACTCGAGTACTCCTTAAACTCCTTATGTTTACTATACGACTTAGTCGCCATTTTGAGTCGATTGTACTACCTGAAAATAAAGAAAGATTTTGTTAGTATGTGTTGATATCTACTGGTGAATTATTTATTTCTTTTCACGTTTAAATAAAATCAGATTACTTAAAAATACTTTTATATCATTTCTCCCGACTTAAAAACTATGATTTCAGAATAGAATAGAAAAACATTTACATAACAATTATTTTTTAATCTACCGCTCATTCTGATAGCTGTCTCATCACAAGAAGAACGAGCAAGAATCTTGTGTGTTGCTCTTTTAAACAATCCTTGTAAGTTCACATTATACAATTCGAAACGTGTAAATACAAACTACCAACCAGCACTAATTTAGGCTTAAATATAAATACACAATAAGATTAAATCTGTCGTAGTGATAAGAGCAGAAGAGTCCTTACAAGCAGCACTCTTTCACGAGTATGACGGATAAGCCAGCCATCACTGCGCTCGACCCTTTGGAGAACCCAATGAATGATTACTGTGTGCGACCGTAAATAGTCATAAAATATTTTTTATAATTGAAGTGCATCATTTTGAAAATGTAACGTTAAAACGGAGCGGTTGTATTATATTGTTTCCTTTTAAAAAATAGATACATACTTCTCGAACATTTCACAGCATCAGAAAGAAAGATATGAAGTGCTACAAAATGTATATTCTTTATATTTTAATTGTAATATTCCTTCATCAAACAATTTCTTTTTTAAATGAAATAAGTTATTTGCAAAATATTGGTACAATTAATATGATGTTACATGAAATTGATACAGCAATATTTACCATACAGGCATGCAAATTACGTGAAGGTGTTTGTGTTACTTAAATATTCTTGGACACTAAAGATTACCAAGTGACAGCCAATTCTTTAGTTTGCGTTTAAATAACGTATGAGACCCCAGTTCTTTAATCTCTCTTGGAAGATTGTTGTACACTTTGATTGCCATACAGTATACATTTCTCGTATGTAAGTCTAATCGACACATTGGTGTGTATAGTCTATCATTAGGTCTCGTTACTCGCAGTGTTGTGTCTGTTATTTTTTTAAATAGTCAGAATGTTCCCTTACAAATATACAAATGTCTTTAATATCATACACGGGAATGGAAGGATGTTTAATTAAAAAAAAATTATAACCCATATCACCATTCCTATAAATTAGAATGTTAAGAAATCGTAATATTTTACTTAAATTGTAAATAAGTACCTTACTTACGCTAACTTACTTATAGCTTTGTATTTATAACTATGATGTATAGAATGGTACAATACTATAAGCCATATTTGGTGGTGAAACCTAATCCAGTCGGATGCAGGTGCGTGGGACGCAGCCGAGCTTTCAATACGACTTACGAGACCGCATCGCCACGTGCGGTGGTAAACACTCCACTCGATTGTACGGTAAGTTGTAAACATAAATCTTACTAAGATGTTTTTTTATACCAGATTGCTGGTAAATAAGTATACGGCCCATCTGATGGTAAACGGTTACCGTAGCCTATGGACGCCTGAAACACCAGTGGTGTCACGTGCGCATTGCCAACCCTTAAAAAACATTAATATATTCTTCCCCCAATGCTGTAGTCTCTCGAGAAAACCTCGGCAGATAGTTCATTCCACAGTTTAAGTGTACGCGGGAGGAAGCTCCTCTGAAACCACACTGTCCGAGACCACTTAGGTTCCAGCGTATGGGGATGAATTCCCTAGTTCCAGTTTATAAGTATGAATGTATGGATGTCTGTTACTCTTTCACGCAAAAAATGCTGAACAGATTTTGATAGGATTTACAGTAATGTAGCTTATACATCAGAATGACACGTAGGCTATAATTAAAAAAGATATTATGTAAATTAGGAGAAATATAATGATAAATGTCAAGTAAGTGTAATGCAGACAAAGTTGAGCGGGTCAGCTAGTATCACTAATATTATAAACGCAAAAGGTTTTAGTATGAATGGATGTTTGTTATTCTTTCACGCAAAAAACTACTGAACGGATTTTGATGAAATTTTAAAGCTTGAACATCAGAATAACATATGGGTTATAATTAAAAAAAATATATAAATATAATTAGTAAGTGTGACGCAGATAAAGTTGCACACGTCTGCTAGTTACATAGATAACAAACTTACTTACGTTAAATTATATTCACATATATTAACTAAATATTATCAATTTATTTACAACAACCTATGTGATAACAAACCCAATGTGAACCAACCAATGTGAAAGGACCCTTATACTATACTTAATGCTCTTATAGGACCCGTTGACATTTACACGAGATATAGTTAGGAGCAACCGTGACATAGTAACGCCCCTACACCAGATTCGGCGACCAAGGTCCCCAGCTGTTCAAAATATTCTGCATATATTACACCCACTAAAATATTACAAACAATTACTTTCTAAATAAATCTTTATTAAAATAAACTGAATATAAGCACTATTGAATAATCATATTTTTTTTATTCTACCACATATTGGGAACGCAGTCTAAATACAAGAAGAATGAAAAATATTAAACCTATTTTTTTTGTTAACCATTAACTTTAAATTGCGATATGTACATATAAGCAGTATCAAATAGGTAGTTATTGGATAAGTAGGTTTATTATATAATTTATTATAACGTAAACATATTCACTTAATTTTGTAGGTAGATAATAAAAAAAATGCGTGGATATCCGCGTGGTCAATGGTAATAGCCCAGTGATCGAAATTAGACTTACATATAACTCATTTTAATATTGTTTCAACGTTCAAAATTATATTGTCGAAATCTGTGAGTGTGAGAAAGTCCTGTCAAAATTATTAATAATTTTTAGATTCAGGAAATGGTACATATATTTTAATTTAGAATTTATATATAGGTATGCCTGTCGTATATAACTAACTGTGCCCGCGGGCACTGCCTATGCGTTATTCTGATGTATAAATAATATTACTGTAAAGTTTCATTAAAATCCGTTAAGTAGTTTTTGCGTGAAAGAATAGCAAACATCCAATCCATCCATACCACAAACTTTCACGTTTATAATATTAGTAAGGTAATCTTTAGTTTTCTATACAAAGATACATATAAGTAAATCAATATTAAACTAATAAAATCCCGTAAGTTGAGGGTAATAAGAATCACATTCAAAATATTGCTTTGACTTCAAACATCGGTGACCTAAAACGCGATATCAAAGTTTTTTAATAAAGTAGTATATTACTAGAGGGTTGAGATTGAATAATCGGGGTCAGCAGCCTCGAGGGAAACCAGTGTTGTGCTAAACTGGTCTATATTAGCACTCAATCAGATGAGGTTTTAAATCTAACCCAAGTCATGATCATGTAGTAAATACATATACACAAGAATCCTGTGACGTAAGTCATATAACACTATCGAGGTAAAGCACCAAGAAACCATATTAGGTATAGTACCACTTCGGTTAACTCGACCCCATTTTTTAGAATCTACAAACGACCGCGTGAAGGTGGACTTAGTATATTATCAACAAATGGTCTACTGGAGGAAGGGGAATAATTGTTAATAGATAATGTGGACTGATGGCCCCATTACTAGCAATATACGATATCAGGTTGACTTCCACGTGGGGGACCTGACATCATGCTCATATTGTCATCCTCCACTGGTGCCCCGTAAAGCGTTAGCGTAGGTAGGTGCACCATTTCATTATCATATGTTTTAAAAGTTGGTCTACTGGGGGGAAAGGGGATTGTTAGTAAGGTGGACTAATAACCCCATTGCTAGCAATGTACCATGTCAGGTTGATCTCCACATATTTCCCCTGGAAACCATCTTTATAAATTCATGGAGAATTTACCACGATGGTCTAACTGACCAGACCACCATGCTCATATTGTCATACTCTACCGGTGCCCCGCTAGCCTAAACGTTAGCACAGGCGAGTGCATCATTCCATTATAAAATAGAATAACATTATTATTACATCACACATCACAACACAACAGTGACGATGCTGACAGCGGCATAATTACTAAATTAAATTAAATAACGTAAATAAGATAAATAATAACGAAAATAAATTAAATAACGTAAATTAAACGATCAAATTTGAAAGGAAATCATTACTTTAATATCTACCTAAATTGTATTTTATAATAATAATAAATTTGAAAAATGAACTTTCATTAATTTATATAAAGAAATAGTAATACAATAATTCTAATACGTATTTGTCTGTAAATAGAATAAAAGTGAAAGCTACATAACTTAAATAACCATATCATCTATTATGTACCACTTTTATAACAAATAATATTTGATTTCATAAAAGGAAAAAAACAAATAAACTCAAATAAAGAACAGAGATATACAGAGATCATTCCATTCTATAAGTTATTGGATAAAAAACTAATAAAAAAATTCAAAAAGAAGTATAATAGCAGTAAAAGGAACTTTAAATGTTGCTGTCCTAAAACGCGCTATGAATGTTTTTCAGTAAATCGGTATATTACTAAAGGGTTGAATAGTACAGTTGGGGTCAGCCGTCTCGAGGGAAACCAGTACTGTGCTAAACTGGTCTAATTTAGCACTCAACCAAACGGTAACGCGCGCAACTAAGAAATATGAAGAGAAACGAGATAAAAGAGGAGAAACCAAACACAAACCCAATAATATACTACCTATGAGATTAGAGCGAAATAACCATTCGGTTAACTCGACCCTACTTTTGATAAAATAATCCATAATTAGTTCGTTTTCAGGTAACCATTTTGGTATTTTGTTTTTTGGCCAATTGGATGTTGCCTTATACAGACAAATATATACAAATGTATAGTATTTTTAAAATCTTTTATTTATTGACACATTTTTTTCTATAATCGATTATTTGTTGTTTCCATCCCTACTTTTGATACTTACTTCAAATGGATTAATTGATTGAGAATTAATTTTTAATTTTATTATATATCAAGATATATTTATATATTTAACTAGCTGTACCCGCGACTTCGTCCGCGTAACACTTGATTTTATTTTTCTAA